TCAGTAAGTTGAGTAAAGCAGTGTGCTCATTGAGCGTACTCTAATAAGTGAAGGGCATTTCTCCACGCACGACGACGTATTGGGTATATAGGGCTAGACAGTGATGGATTTACGTTTCGCTAGCTAAGATACAGCTTAGAGACGCAGCTTGCAGGGGCCTCACATTTCTTGCGGGCCTTTATTCTTCTTTTTCGGGTTCACCGGTTAAAAGAAATTCCGGCGGAAAGTTCTGGTTGTTTGTCCACTGCTGGTCTCCAGTCCTGCTCCAAAATCCTGAGTGTTGCGTGCACTTCTGTTTCACATGTCTGACTCCCTTGCGTGCAGACTGTTGATTCCGTGCATCTCAGGCATATCTACTCGGATTTCGGAGGAAACTCCCAATTAGCCGACTCTTACGAAATGCTTTGAGGTAGGCAGTGGGCCTATTCTTGTTTTCCCCCAGAGGGGAAGTGGAAAATGCAACCACCTTTTTAAATACTCGTATTTTAAATGCAGTCCTGCTCCAAAATCCTGAGTGTTGCGTGCACTTCTGTTTCACATGTCTGACTCCCTTGCGTGCAGACTGTTGATTCCGTGCATCTCAGGCATATCTACTCGGATTTCGGAGGAAACTCCCAATTAGCCGACTCTTACGAAATGCTTTGAGGTAGGCAGTGGGCCTATTCTTGTTTTCCTCCAGAGGGGAAGTGGAAAATGCAACCACCTTTTTAAATACTCGTATTTTAAATGCAGTTTACGTTTAGTATATTTTACATTACCCACCCTATATATTTTTTATTAGCATTAGGTTGGGTATATTATCTCAAGTTTTTTTTTTAAATATTGTTAACTACAATGTATTTCCACTATCCATATATTTAAAAGGCGTAAATATTTTAAAGTTCTGCGAGATTAGCTGGTGTAGTTTATAACGGCAGAGGCCTCAGGGATTTATATCGTTGTGGGGGCCTCCAGTCTAAATCTGGCCCTGGTGCTAGACCAGTGGATCGATCAGCACTATGGTCAACATCTCACCGGATGCCTTTACTTCCAAGGAATTTACCTGGTACCTATTTTGGACTGGGTCGTCGTGGGACCAAAGTTCATTTTTGAAAAACATCTGCCTCGATTTAGATTTGAACCTACAACCTTCATGCCCGGAGGTGAACATCTATCCACTACGCCACAGTGGCCGTGCATACTGTGCTAGACACCGATTTTATAGGCACTGGTTGAGTTATAGGGTTAACATCACGGTAGTCACGGGGTTAACATCACGGTAGTCACGGGGTTAACATCACGGTAGTCACGGGGTTAAAATCACGGTAGTCACGGGGTTAACATCACGGTAGTCACGGGGTTAACATCACGGTAGTCACGGGGTTAACATCACGGTAGTCACGGGGTTAACATAACGGTAGTCACGGGGTTAACATAACGGTAGTCACGGGGTTAACATAACGGTAGTCACGGGGTTAACATAACGGTAGTCACGGGGTTAACATAACGGTAGTCACGGGGTTAACATCGTAGCACTGGATCTAGATGGGTTACAGATAGGTTAATATCACGGTAGTGGATCTAGATGGGTTACAGACAGGTTAATATCACGGTAGTGGATCTAGATGGATTACAGATAGGTTAATATCACGGTAGTGGATCTAGATGGGTTACAGACAGGTTAATATCACGGTAGTGGATCTAGATGGATTACAGATAGGTTAATATCACGGTAGTGGATCTAGATGGGTTACAGACAGGTTAATATCACGGTAGTGGATCTAGATGGGTTACAGATAGGTTAATATCACGGTAGTGGATCTAGATGGGTTACAGACAGGTTAATATCACGGTAGTGGATCTAGATGGATTACAGATAGGTTAATATCACGGTAGTGGATCTAGATGGGTTACAGACAGGTTAATATCACGGTAGTGGATCTAGATGGATTACAGATAGGTTAATATCACGGTAGTGGATCTAGATGGGTTACAGACAGGTTAATATCACGGTAGTGGATCTAGATGGGTTACAGACAGGTTAATATCACGGTAGTGGATCTAGATGGATTACAGACAGGTTAATATCACGGTAGTGGATCTAGATGGGTTACAGACAGGTTAATATCACGGTAGTGGATCTAGATGGGTTACAGATAGGTTAATATCACGGTAGTGGATGGGTCACGGGGTTAACATCATGACACTGGATGGGTCATTGTACCTAATTTCTTTTAAGCATTCGTCTATTCGTTTGAAAAACCGAAACACATACTATCGGTGATTCTCAGACGCCAGTCTCCGAGGTCCGTGGTCTTGTAATGAAACGTTGACTGCTTCACACATAGTTTTATTGAAAAGACGGCTATCCTCCTACAAACGGTCGGCAAAGATGGCGGCGGCAAAATATCTAGCCGAGCCGCGGTCACGGGTCGTTGCGCTTCCGGCTACTTAATTTGCGGTATTCTGGCGGTTTTCCGCCAAATACCGCTACCACTATGTGGTCCCCACGCCGGGTGAGCGGCGTGGATTGAGGCTGAACTAGATAGCTAGGACTCACGAGCAGCAGCTTCCGCATCTCCTGCAGCTTTGCTTGTGTCCTAGCCATCTAGTTTAGCCCCAAACCACGCCGCGTGAGCGGCGTTGGGGCGACGTGGTGGTAGCCATTCTCGCCGGAAAAGCGCACATGAAGTAGCCGGAAGCGCGCAATTGACCCGTGACCCCAAGTGCTCAATGACCCGTGACCGCGGCTCAGCTGGATATTTTGCCGCCGCCATCTTTGCCGACCGTTTGTCGAAGGATAGCCGAAAAGACATACTTTAACGACAAGAACAATAATGACAAAAACAGGAATAACCGTTAGCCACTCCCAGTATGTGTAAATGGAACATGTCCCTCTTTGTCATGATGTGAATGAGCTGGTCCAGCTGCAATACACAGAGAACTGATGTCTTGATCAGAAACACTGATTACCGTTGGAGAATCAGCTTGATTGGAGAAGTTTGATGGTTTATAGGAGTGACTCATCAAAGCTGACATGAGAATATACAGACTTATTTGGAGTGCAATTGGAACACCTTCTTTAACGCACAGCGAGTTGTTAGGTATAGACTAATATAATGACATGTGTTTTCCTGCAGGTTCTCAGAGGCAAGCCTGTCCCTAGACGCGATGCTAGCTTTGTCTCTAGGCTCAAGGAGTACGTCTTTGGCTACTAACTCTAATCGCCACCGACGTGCTGTTAATCACATCGTTCATCGTGCCGTCGACAGACGTCGTCACCGTTGTCTGAAAACACCTTACACTATTGGGCCACAAGATACTGTTGACTGTCTGATCAATTCCCCCCGTCTCTGTCGATCAGAGCAATGGACTTGATGTTTGCATGGTTGAGTCTCGTTCGTTCAGACACATTCGGTATCCGTGTTTTCTTCGTCTGTCTCTTCTCCTCTTCACATCTACAGAGCCCTGAAATATCGTTCTGGAGTGAGCGGTAAATCTTGTTGCGTGTCCTACCTTTTTTTTCCATGTCTTTCCATGTTACATATCAATCGACACTCAGTGAGTAATATGGTGAACATCACGACGATCACATTTACCTCCCAGGGCATTACCTGGTGACCATTATAGGTTGGGTCGATCTGAGAGCCAAGATCGATTTTGACCACACACGCACACAAACACACAACCAACACAATGCGCATCGAACCTAAGACCTTCCGGCGGATAGGCAAGTCTATAGCCACTACATATAAAATATTAAATATAGTTTATGCTTAGAATAATTTCACCTTGAGGTCGACAGGATCGACCTTAGTGGGTTTGATTCCATATGTCCCGGGGTCTCTCTTCACAGAGCGGCCCAGTTACGAACCGCGGGAATCTTCGTAAAAATGGCACTCGTGGACCAAACAACGAGCTGGAAAACGAATCCACGACCCCCAGAGCGCGAGGTAGACGGCTTGACTACTTCGGCACCGAGCTCCAACCCCCACCCCCGTTTTTGTTCTTCCCTCCACTTTCATTGCTTTTAAGAAGTAGTACAATATTTTAGATTGTATCAAGCAGTTCACGAGGTATCTCTCCAATCGAAATTAAATCATGCAACTTTCATTATTTTGTTGATTGTGCTCAGTAGGATATTCAGTTTACACGACTAAATATATTAGCATACAAACAAACAAACACACAAGCACACACACGCACGCTCGCGCGCACACACACACACACACACACACATATATATATATATATATATATATATATATATATATATATATATATATATATATATATATACATATTTTTGTTGGATAGTATTACAACATATAATTGTGTTGATTTAAACACTTTTTTTTAATGTTTTTATTTTGTTAAAAACTTTTTTTTTAAATTATATTTATTAAAACGCTATTAGGGCAGGCTGCGCTGGCTGTTCGGTTGCTTTCGCCCAATTGTTGATTGTTTATGTTGTTTACTGAGCAGTAGTATTCGGGCTTCCATTTCTTCTACGACAGTCATAGCCGGGTAACAATTCTGACTGTTTTCACCAAGTTGTTTATTTTGTTTTCTTTTCCATTTTAAGCAGTTTGTTTTTAAATGTTTGTTTTCATGACTACAACTACTACGACAGGATAGCCGCCGTGGCTTAGCAGCAAGAGTCGTATCTGCAGGCCTGAAGTTTATGGCTTCAAATCTTCATCGAGTCTGATTTTTGTTGTTGATTAGATTTGATTTGATTTGATCCAAGAACCGACATCACAGCACTCCGGGCATTTCCATAAGCACTCCGTCCCTATCTTCAGCAGCCAGCGAAGAGTTCCGATACTAATGGTGCCAGTAGCTTTCTGATTAAACGTCCGTCTTGCCTTTCCTCTGAGCCTCGAGCTTCTGTTGAAAAAAAAAACAACCTTGGCCTAAAATGGGTAGCAGATGAAATTCTGGGAAGTAAAAGCCTTGATGTTTTGTTGACCTCATTAGCCACCGAGTGCCGATCGGTCTATAAAAGATGGATCTAGTACTATATACTCAGTGTATCAAAAGGGCATGGAAAAATGGTCTTTTTACTGATAGAGTAATGGCACGCTGTTGGGTGTTTGACACTGCAAGGGGTGCCGCAGAGACAAAAAAATCATTGACGGAACTTAGAGTCCCTCCCCCTCCCCCTTTTTTAAACGCATTTTCTAAGCGGGGGGTACTTCAAGGGTCCTAAGATTTGTTTAAGTGCGTAATAATAATAATCGTTATATGACTGACTGAAACTATAACGTGTGTGAAATAATTTTATTTTTTTAAATTTGGGATTGAAGTCTGTAGGATTCTAATCTCAGAGCTAAGAATCAGACAGCTACAAAGCCGGGAAAACCTGTCCACTAATAGAGCCATATAGCACAGTTATACTGGGGCACCACAAAACGGTGACGTAGTAACCCGTAGTTCTTTGTGGGTGGATGGGTGGCATTGATTTGGGAAACAAAGGAAATAAACGAACAAATACTTGAAAAGAATATGGTTGGGGGAAGTGTAGTTAGTCCCTTTACACATTTTATATGGCGCTAAGACCCTCACCTCACATCCAAAACCCCCGTCTCCACAGTAAAATATGTGTGTCCTCAAAAGCTCTAAACCTCCACTCACGTTATCCCTGGACATTCAACGGTTATAAGCCAGAGAAGATGGCGTTGTATTGCACACATTCTAAGAAGAGGCGAACAGAGACGATGGCGTTATATTGCACACATTCTAAGAAGAGACGAACAGAGAAGATGACGTTATATTGCACACATTCTAAGAAGAGGCGAACAGAGACGATGGCGTTGTATTGCACACATTCTAAGAAGAGGCGAACAGAGACGATGGCGTTATATTGCACACATTCTAAGAAGAGGCGAACAGAGACGATGGCGTTATATTGCACACATTCTAAGAAGAGGCGAACAGAGACGATGGCATTATATTGCACACATTCTAAGAAGAGGCGAACAGAGACGATGGCGTTATATTGCACACATTCTAAGAAGAGGCGAACAGAGAAGATGGCGTTATATTGCACACATTCTAAGAAGAGGCGAACAGAGACAATGGCGTTGTATTGCACACATTCTAAGAAGAGGCGAACAGAGACGATGGCGTTATATTGCACACATTCTAAGAAGAGACGAACAGAGAAGATGGCGTTGTATTGCACACATTCTAAGAAGAGACGAACAGAGAAGATGGCGTTATATTGCACACACTCTAAGAAGAGACGAACAGAGACGATGGCGTTATATTGCACACATTCTAAGAAGAGGCGAACAGAGACGATGGCGTTATATTGCACACATTCTAAGAAGAGACGAACAGAGAAGATGGCGTTATATTGCACACACTCTAAGAAGAGGCGAACAGAGACGATGGCGTTATATTGCACACATTCTAAGAAGAGGCGAACATAGAAGATGGCGTTGTATTGCACACATTCTAAGAAGAGGCGATCAGAGAATCACCAATCAGGAACTGAAACGGGAATTGGATGGATTGAGGAAGCAAGGATGCCCTAAAGAAATCCTTAAATGAACGTTGATGAGAGAGTCCTAAAGTGCCGGACTAGATTTCATCCATGATATTCAATTGATTGCACAGCACAGCAGGGAATGGAGACATGGGCTGTGAGCCCTGTATGACATGTATTGGTACAACAGGACAGTCAGTGAACTGGCACTAGATGAATGGTGTGGTGTAAGCCGTCTTCACTTCCCATGACATTTCCATGTATTAGGTTTGAGCTGGAGCCATGATAGCCCAGTGTTAGCAGCGTTGATTTCTGGTTCTGCTGTCATATAACCGATTCTCCTTCAAGTCGAATATTTGTTCACTAACGGCTGTAGTTTACCGCTGGGTTGCGATATTTGCTCCCTTTGGCATAGCACATTCGATTTCAGCAAATTCCGAATTAAACGCCTTTGACAACATGCTTGTTAATGGCATGGTTCTGTGTTAGGGACATGGGTCTGTGTTAGGGACATGGTTCTGTGTTAGGGACATGGGTCTGTGTTAGGGACATGGGTCTGTGTTAGGGACATGGTTCTGTGTTAGGGACATGGGTCTGTGTTAGGGACATGGTTCTGTGTTAAGGACATAGGTCTGTGTCAGGGACATGGTTCTGTGTTAGGGACATGGGTCTGTTTTAGGGACATGGGTCTGTGTTAGGGACATGGGTCTGTGTTAGGGGCATGGGTCTGTGTTAGGGACATGGGTCTGTGTTAGGGACATGGTTCTGTGTTAGGGGCATGGGTCTGTGTTAGGGACATGGTTCTGTGTTAGGGACATGGTTCTGTGTTAGGGACATGGGTCTGTGTTAGGGACATGGTTCTGTGTTAGGGACATGGGTCTGTGTTAGGGACATGGTTCTGTGTTAGGGACATGGGTCTGTGTTAGGGACATGGGTCTGTGTTAGGGACATGATTCTGTGTTTGGGACAGTGGGTCTGTGTTAGGGACATGGTTCTGTGTTAGGGACATGGGTCTGTGTTAGGGACATGGGTCTGTGTTAGGGACATGGGTCTGTGTTAGGGACATGGGTCTGTGTTAGGGACATGGTTCTGTGTTAGGGACATGGGTCTGTGTTAGGGGCATGGTTCTGTGTTAGGGGCATGGGTCTGTGTTAGGGGCATGGGTCTGTGTTAGGGGCATGGTTCTGTGTTAGGGGCATGGTTCTGTGTTAGGGCGATGGTTCTGTGTTAGGGGCATGGTTCTGTGTTAGGGGCATGGTTCTGTGTTAGGGGCATGGTTCTGTGTTAGGGACATGGTTCTGTGTTAGGGACATGGTTCTGTGTAAGGGGCATGGGTCTGTGTTAGGGGCATGGGTCTGTGTTAGGGGCATGGTTCTGTGTTAGGGACATGGTTCTGTGTTAGGGACATGGTTCTGTGTTAGGGGCATGGTTCTGTGTTAGGGACATGGTTCTGTGTTAGGGACATGGTTCTGTGTTAGGGACATGGTTCTGTGTTAGGGACATGGTTCTGTGTTAGGGACATGGTTCTGTGTTAGGGACATGGGTCTGTGTTAGGGACATAGGTCTGTGTTAGGGACATGGGTCTGTGTTAGGGACATGGTTCTGTGTTAGGGACATGGGTCTGTGTTAGGGGCATGGTTCTGTGTTAGGGGCATGGGTCTGTGTTAGGGGCATGGGTCTGTGTTAGGGGCATGGTTCTGTGTTAGGGGCATGGTTCTGTGTTAGGGGCATGGTTCTGTGTTAGGGGCATGGTTCTGTGTTAGGGACATGGTTCTGTGTTAGGGGCATGGTTCTGTGTTAGGGGTATGGTTCTGTGTTAGGGACATGGTTCTGTGTTAGGGACATGGGTCTGTGTTAGGGACATGGTTCTGTGTTAGGGACATGGGTCTGTGTTAGGGACATGGTTCTGTGTTAGGGACATGGGTCTGTGTTAGGGACATGGGTCTGTGTTAGGGACATGGTTCTGTGTTAGGGACAGTGGGTCTGTGTTAGGGACATGGTTCTGTGTTAGGGACATGGGTCTGTGTTAGGGACATGGGTCTGTGTTAGGGACATGGGTCTGTGTTAGGGACATGGGTCTGTGTTAGGGACATGGTTCTGTGTTAGGGACATGGGTCTGTGTTAGGGGCATGGTTCTGTGTTAGGGGCATGGGTCTGTGTTAGGGGCATGGGTCTGTGTTAGGGGCATGGTTCTGTGTTAGGGGCATGGTTCTGTGTTAGGGCGATGGTTCTGTGTTAGGGGCATGGTTCTGTGTTAGGGGCATGGTTCTGTGTTAGGGGCATGGTTCTGTGTTAGGGACATGGTTCTGTGTAAGGGGCATGGGTCTGTGTTAGGGGCATGGGTCTGTGTTAGGGGCATGGTTCTGTGTTAGGGACATGGTTCTGTGTTAGGGACATGGTTCTGTGTTAGGGGCATGGTTCTGTGTTAGGGACATGGTTCTGTGTTAGGGACATGGTTCTGTGTTAGGGACATGGTTCTGTGTTAGGGACATGGGTCTGTGTTAGGGACATGGGTCTGTGTTAGGGACATGGGTCTGTGTTAGGGACATGGTTCTGTGTTAGGGACATGGGTCTGTGTTAGGGGCATGGTTCTGTGTTAGGGGCATGGGTCTGTGTTAGGGGCATGGGTCTGTGTTAGGGGCATGGTTCTGTGTTAGGGGCATGGTTCTGTGTTAGGGGCATGGTTCTGTGTTAGGGGCATGGTTCTGTGTTAGGGACATGGTTCTGTGTTAGGGGCATGGTTCTGTGTTAGGGTATGGTTCTGTGTATGGTTCTGTGTTAGGGGCATGGTTCTGTGTTAGGGGCATGGTTCTGTGTTAGGGACATGGTTCTGTGTTAGGGGCATGGTTCTGTGTTAGGGGCATGGTTCTGTGTTAGGGACATGGTTCTGTGTTAGGGACATGGTTCTGTGTTAGGGGCATGGTTCTGTGTTAGGGGCATGGTTCTGTGTTAGGGGCATGGTTCTGTGTTAGGGGCATGGTTCTGTGTTAGGGACATGGTTCTGTGTTAGGGACATGGTTCTGTGTTAGGGGCATGGTTCTGTGTTAGGGGCATGGTTCTGTGTTAGGGGCATGGTTCTGTGTTAGGGACATGGGTCTGTGTTAGGGACATGGTTCTGTGTTAGGGGCATGGTTCTGTGTTAGGGGCATGGTTCTGTGTTAGGGACATGGTTCTGTGTTAGGGAGATGGTTCTGTGTTAGGGACATGGTTCTGTGTTAGGGACATGGTTCTTTGTTAGGGACAGTGGGTCTGTGTTAGGGGCATGGTTCTTTGTTAGGGGTATGGTTCTGTGTTAGGGGTATGGTTCTGTGTTAGGGACATGGTTCTGTGTTAGGGACATGGTTCTGTGTTAGGGACATGGGTCTGTGTTAGGGGCATGGTTCTGTGTTAGGGGCATGATTCTGTGTTAGGGGCATGGTTCTGTGTTAGGGATATGGGTCTGTGTTAGGGACATGGTTCTGTGTTAGGGGCATGGTTCTGTGTTAGGGGCATGGTTCTGTGTTAGGGACATGGTTCTGTGTTAGGGAG